AGTTTTGGTGATTAAAGGTTGAGGGATGGGGAGATAAAGAGGGTCGTATGTAAAATTCATCCCTACCTTCAAAATTAAGCTTTTTGCCATTTTATAACAGTTAAAAATTAAAAACATTTTTAATGAAATATCTTAAGATGACACCAACAATGTTGCTGGGAATGTTAAGCAACACACTGAATTTTTATTTAGTTTTCTGGATTTACATGCTTTTATGAAACTCTTAAGGATACTCTATTTAAACTATTTTATTGTGTAAAAACTTGCAAAATAAATCTGACAATATCCACTCTAAAAACCATTTAATGCACTAATATTTCTTTATTCTAGCATTTTTTATCGTCTTAAATCATTGTTTCTCATCCTCTAACGAATCGTCGCCCCCTTCAATAAAACCATTACGTAGTATCGCTCTTTTTACTTCAAAATTCTGATGTCCAGGGCCAAGGCTAACGCCAAATTCGTACTGCTAGACTAGTGACTAGTATAATGTTATTTGTTTAATTATTGTATGATATAACAAATAAAATATCTAATTATTCTTAATATAATGTTTTACTATATTCCCAGAAAACTGTTTTTTGCCCCCCAAAATATAAATTGTTACTAATCACCCCCTCAACATGGAAAAACGCCCACATGGGGGCGATATCGCCCCCATTGAGAAACACTGTCTTAAATGATCTTCTTCAGAAAAAAATAACATTCTAAAAGAACAAACACCTAACAGTTTTTCTAGAACGTATTTGATTAGATTTTATTTTAGTTATTTATTTATTTAGTTAGTCATTAATGATATGAGCTTTCAAAATCAAATACATTCTATATAAACTGTTAGGCATTTGTTCCTTTAGAATATTATTTTTTCCTAAAGATGATCATTTAAGATGATTGAAAATGTTAGAATAAAGAAATATTACTGCATCAAATGGTTTTTAGAGTTGGTATTTGTACAATTGCAGTTTGTGTAAGAGTATTTTTAATTCTATATTTTTCTTGTAAAAGCAACGTTAAAACACTAGTTAAGACTTTTAATATTTTTTTAAACTACTAATCTTTTAATTTTGTATTTTATAGATTGATAAAGATGCAGAAACTGTGGCCAAATGGCAACATTGTGCTATCAGTCAAGAGAAGCTTCGTCCACCAATTGTTTCTTGTGATTTGGGAAGGTTAGTTAATTTGTATTTTTATCAGGTCATCCCATAAATAATTCAGTTTTTGAATGTCCATGTAATCAATGCCATATGATGGGCGAATTATGAACTACACCAAGATTATGATATTAATGCTTGATAGGACAGTTCATTGCATATACATGCACAGAACATGATCAGTCCACAGCAGTTTGTGTATCAGTGAAATGTGTTTAAACATGTCAATGTCTGAAGAACACATGCAGCATTTTATGCTTTGAGTTCCATCAGGGACATTCAGCAACCTTTACCGCACGAAACATTAATTTCATATATGGGCATGGAACCTTTGATGTTTGCAAATGTCAAAGGTAGTTCAAAACAATGGAGAACATCAGCCATACTGATATGCCACAAGACAGAAGACCCATTGGACTGGACAATGCTCTTCTGCGAGCAGCTGTTGAGGAGAATTCACTTTAAGCAGTTGAAGAATTATCCGTAGCATTCCATTCGACCTCTTTAACCTTTCACTGGCATTTGCAGCACCTTGTTCTGCAAATGCCAGTGAAAGGTTGAAGCAGCAGCATGTGAATGTTTGCAGTTCTCTATTGACCCATCACAGAAGAGAGCCATTTTTGGATAGAATAGTGACAGGAGACAAAAAATGGATCTTATACCACAATGTTAAATGCAAATTCCAGTGGGTATCTAAATATGATGTGGTGGGCACAATGACAAAACAATAACTCCAACCACAGAAAGTGATGTGTGTTTGGTGGGACATGCATAGTATCATTCATTTTGAATTGTCATCAAACCAGATAATTACAGCGGATATTTACTGTCAGCAGTTGGAACAGCTATGGGCTGCATTGCTGGAGAAATGCTTTGCACTGGTGCTGATACACAGATAATGTCCACCCCCACACACAGCAAATAGGACCTGCATGAAATTACAGGAATTTCAATGGGAGAAAATACTCCATCCTCCTTATATGCCAGACCTTGCACCAACAGATTTCTATCTGTTTTTCAATCTCCAAAATCATCTCGATGGGAAAACACTGCAAAATGTGGAGGATGTGCAGTGCAGTGAACATTATCTGAGTTTTTTACACCAAAATCCAGAGAAGGATTCAAAAACTGGTTAATAGATGGCAGAGGCTGTGGTATCAGATGGTAATTATAATAACGACTGAGGATTGTGTTCCAAGTGTATTTGCATTTTTTCTTTCATAGGGATAAAAAAACAACATTACTTATGGAATGACCTGATAATTAAAATTGCATATTTAATTATAAACATTTCAAAATTAAATAAATTAGTTAATTTTAAAACTAACTGTAACTGTATAATTTTAAATTTAATTTTAGCTTGAAAATTCAGTTTTTAGTGAACTTTTTTGTCAATAAATATATTTATGCACCCAGATAGTATTATCTGATTACTGCAAAACTTCACATATATCTATGTCTTAGACAGGTAATTAAATGATTATAGCATGCAATGTATCCTATAAAAAAGGCTTGCAGAAGCTCAGTGTTCAGAATTTTCAGTATACCTTTTGTATGGAGGCCTTCAAATGCCAGGCATCACTACAGAACTCTATTGATATCATTGGAAATCAACTAGCAGAGACAAATTTTTATGCAGAGCAACTGCTGTGCATCCTGTCATTAACACTAATACTGTCAAACTCATTTTCTTATATTGTCTTTAGTGATGAATTTCAGTTCTGTCTGGAAACAGGCAATCAGCATATTAGTATGTGGAGAATCACTGGATCAATCCTGCCTCTACTGCTGAACAACACACACTATCCCACTGTTAGCATGCTGGTCTGGACATTAACAGCATGGCAGTGTATATTCAGGAAATCCTTCATCCTTGTGTGTTGTCTTTCATGGTAGGATTACAACCATTTTCCAGTAAGATAATACTTGGCTATATAAAGCTAGGGCTTCCCAGGAATGTTTGACTTTCTTTCCACAAGTTTTAGGCTGCCCAGTCTCCAGATTTATTATTTATTACCAGAGATTATTACTTATTATGAAGCATTTATGGAGCCAGATAGCACCCCAGCTTCAACCATCTATAAGTGTATGAAGGATTTGAAGTGGCATTACATCATCTGTGGTAGAATAATATATAGTGCTTGAGTCTCCATGTCCAACTGCATGGTCACATGTCCAGGGAAGAGGAGGTTAATGTTATAAAATTAGGTCTTGTAAATGCTATCAAGTTTCCTTGCATAATTATTTTGATTATTGCATATAACTAACATCATTTTACTAAAGAACTTCAGTGATGATTTTTCTTTTAAAATCAATTCAATCTTCCATATTTATTTTATCTTAAACTTTATCTTTGTTGGCTATGTGCTATGGTTGATTATTTTATAAAAGTATTTGTAACTGGGAAACACATTGCAGTTTAAGACTTTATAGAACTTATTGGAACATGAAATTAGTCATTTTTATCTTGATAAAGTTAAGTTACATTTAATTTTATTCATTTTTAACATATAAATTAAAATGACTAACATTAAAACTCAAATAAGTGTGTGTGTATATATTTATTTATTTCACGTTTAATATTAGTAATTACAAACATATATATACAAGAAATCCTCATTAGTTCGAAATTAAATTCAAGGGATGAAAATAATCACGACTTTGAATTATCCAAGATTTACATAAATCTATACAATATGCCAAATGCCATGTAAATGATATAATTTATTAAGCAAAAGGAATATGGATATGTACATAGAATGCTATTTTTATTAATTAAAAATAATAATATAAATGTGAAGGTAAACAGAACATGTCTGGTGAGAACCTCACAAGTCACCAGATAGGTTTTATAAAAGTAAAACAGATTTCCACGAAATGTAGCCTAAATTATTTCTAAAATTTCCCAAAAGTAGTAGTCTAGAGCCCTATAAATATTTCAATCTGCTACTTGTAGCCCAATCTTACAATCCTGAAACCCAGCCATATCTTAAGATAAGAAGAGGAAAAAGGTAGTCCATGTGTAAGGTGACACCTGAAAATGCGTTACTGTAAAAGCAAAGCCATTTTGACCAGATTAGTGTTGTTCTTGGTGTATTGTTCCCTTATAGCATGGAGGCACTTCAATCTAAATGAACAAGTTAACATATGCATATGACAGTTCAGACAGAATTCTCACTTCAAATTTCAAAGTAACTGTATTTTGAACTAACCAAATTCCTTAAAATATAAATCTATATCCTTGGCTGGGACAAAAGTATGGTTACAAACTAACGAGATTTCGAACTATCCAAGTTCGAATTAACGAGGATTTCCTGTAATACACATACAGTAATACCTCGACTTACACTACCCTGACTTACGCAAACCCAGAGTTACGTGATTTTCAAATCTCGTCGATTTGTCTTTTGTTTGAGCACCACGCAACTCTTGATTACTCACTCCCCAACACTATTGTTCGGCTTACATGTTCGGACATGTCGCACGGAATCGAGACATAGCTACAATTTATTTTGTGTTATTTATTTCTGTGTTTGTTATATCTACGGAGACTTGAGAGACTCTCTGTGGTGATTTCTTGTAACTGTGAATGAATCAAAAGACGAGATAAGATTAACGAGAACATTTATTAGCTTACATACATCTGATTTGGATTTTACACAAATTGCGAAATTATACCCTGACTTAGGCGAATTTGACTTACTCGGTTATTGCTCGGTCCCACCTATCGCATAAGTTCGGGGTATTACTGTATATGTAATGTAATAATAATAATGTTTGTTGGATTTAATAAATTTTTTATATAATATGAAAAATTAACATGACAATGTTTTTGTTATTTTAAAGATTGTATAATAAAGAAGCAGTTATTGAATATTTAATTAAGAAAGAACCCATTTGTGAAGTTGCTAAACATATTCGTAGTCTGAAAGTAAGTTTATGTAATTCATTTTTAATTAAGTATAATAATGTAGATAAATAATTGATGATAAATATAAATTATAAAAATGTCAAGTGTCAACATTTTTATAATTAATATAAATATTATTATATCAAATTATATTTATAAAAGTAATAAATCTTATTGTATTATGTTTTTTCATTATAACAAAATTCACAATAATGAATGGTAAATTTAAGTTATGATAATTTAACTTAAAAACATAATGATAATTATTCATACTCATATATACCTGAATTTGTTACATGGTTTGAAAATGTAACAAATTCAGGATGTCCAACAAACCTGGAAAATTTGGAAATGTCAGGGAATTTATCAGATAAGAGAAAAGTCATGCAAATCTCAGGGAATTTGGTATTAAATGTGGAAAAGGAAAAAAATTATTATTGCAGCTTGTATAATGCATCATATAATGGAAAGGGAACAGCAGAAATGATTTGAATGTGCAAATTGTTGTGTCACATGATATGAAGGATGATCTAAGATTACATTATGCATGCTAATTAAATTTAAGTATAATAATTACTAATAATTATTTCTATGTTTTATGAAAATACAAAATTTTAATTATGTGGCTTTAAATATTTATATGAAAATATGTAGTTTTTTTCAATTGTAAATAGCTATTTTTAAGTGTTGTCTCATGGGATTCACTGAAAAGCAGTTGACAACACTAGCTACAGTTTTTTTATTTGGAAATGAGGTTATAGAGGAGGTCTGATCACAACAGTTTCAAAGCTCTTACTGAGCAAATGCTATGTCCCAATGTAGCCAAATTGGTGAAATCAGCATTGACCCTCTCTCATGGCAATGCCGATGTGGAACGGGGATTTTCAGTTTCATGCCAGGCACTTCCTCCCCATAGAGCATCAATGTCAGAAAGAATGCTTAATTCACTTTTGATTGTTAAGGCGGGACTAAATATGTATGACCAACCCACACCTTGTACTGTACCTTTTACAAAGGATCTACTGAAATTAGCTTCTTCAGCACACACAAATTATCAAGAACAATTGGAAAATAAAAAGAAGTTAAAAGAAGAAGAGAAATAGAAAAAAGAGCAGAAGAGAAAGCACAAACATTTTAAAGAACATCAAAAGAAAGCTGTTCGTGACAAGGAAAAGATTATGGCACTGCAGAAGAGTTTAAAACAGAAAAAACTAGAAGCTCTCTTATATATCTCTTATATATATTATATATATATATTCCGAAATGTTCTTGTTAAAGACATGTTTACGCTCGAATAAAGTTCAATGTAAGCTTAAAAATCTAGGTCACCAGTAAAAATTTATTATAAATTTTATAGTACTTGAGATTGATAATTTATATAATTAACAATTGAAGGTTGGTGACCTCCTTTCATTTCATTTTTTTCAATTCATTACCGCCTTAGGCTTATTTACTATTAAAGGAAACTTTAACCGTATTCACCTGAAGTGTTTATTAAATGTATTCCGAGATTTTTATATTCATTTCCATGAAAGCCACAACATAAATTATTGTTAAGATGTCTTAATTATATTTATAACTGCATAAGTTATATATAAAAGTACTCTGTAAATGATAAACAGACTTATCCACATATAATATTGGATANGAAAAGTATATTCAAAGGGGAATCAAAAAAGGATGTGGTTTTGGGGTACATGAGAGATTCTGGAATAGAAAATATCCCAGAAACCGTTGAATGAAATTGGAATTATCCCAGTAACCATTGCATTTCTGCCGCTGATCGATGTCTTTGCCTTAAAAATGTGACAGATTCTGGGATAAAAGTTATACTGTTAAACTTTTATGAAATTATCCCAGAGGCTGTCAATCCTATACTACTTACAGTAGACCTTGGATATGCCACTAAAGATTGGAAAATTGAAAAGTTTGAAGGGAGTAACTGACAAGAGTGATATAAATTTGAAAAGACTGTGCAAATTGCTTGCGAGTTTTAACCACCAAATTGTTGGAAAAGTTGCCACTGAAATACAAATTGACCAAGGAACTGTTATGCCTAAATCCAGCTTATACAAGGAGTAGAGAGAAAGCACAAAAACTGCTAGATATTACATTAGAAACTCAAGACTAATAACTGGATAAATGATTCTACAGCTGATTAAAATTGCTGAGCAATACAAAGACATTTTGTTATCCCAGGAATTAGTGATTATGGTTAAACACTACTCCAAACAGCATGACAGGTTTGATTCTTTGTAGCTTAGTCTGTCAGATCATTATGGTGAAGTAAAAGAATTTGAAACAGTTGTGAATATGATTTTATTGATATCCGATGGTAATTCTCATATGGAATGTGGATTTTCCACAAACAAAATATTCCTAATGGAAAACCAAAAAGAAGAGACATTTGTAGCTTACAAGACATTACACAATGTAGTCATGTCAGCTAATGGATTGGGGAAATTGGATATATCAAAATAGTTTGTCATGCAACTTGAATTGCAGCCCAGAGATACAAGGAAGCTGTGGTAGCTCATAAACAAGAAGAAATAAGGCAAGAGAAAGAGTTGAGTGAGAAGTTGATGGCTGCAGAAATAGTGAAAGAGCTAAAAATTAAAAAAATGATGATTCTTGCAGAAGCTAATAGAGAGATTGGGGACATTAACACACATTTGGAAGAACTGCAAAAAGGTTTATTTTATTCTATAATTAATAAAGAGTATGATTATTTTGTGATATTTACTCACTGTGAATTGCATAATTTGGAAAATTTGATTTACATTATAAGATGGAGTAGATCGAAAACGTTAGTTTTTAATAAACTCCCTTGGCAACGACTAATATGTTAGTTACTTGATTAATTATTTTGCTGAGTACGTTTCTTTTCAATGTTACATTATAAGGTTGACAATATCAATTTGAATTTCCATATTTTAACAAAGTTGTCATGTTGAACCTGTAAATAATATACAATCTTTTGTACATTTTGAAGCAACAATACCTGAATTGATTAATCAAAATGAAAAAAATTAATCATATAATAAATGGAATTGAGTAGCCTTATAACTGAGTTTCATTTAATAACATCAAATAAATTGTGAACTGTTTTTAATTTATACAGTGAGTTGTTTCAGTCAGTCAGGAAAAAATGCAACTTTTTGTTTAGGAAATCTCAGGAAAATTGGAAATTGTTGGACACCCTGAAATTGCATAATTATCATTCAAAAGTTTTCATTATTGATGATAAACAGCAAACTTTTGAAAAGTAAATATGCAATATTTTTAAAGTTAATATAAACCACAAAAATATTGCTTTTTAATAAGGTAAAGTTTACTTAATAAAGAATGTTTCTAACAGTGAAACATTGAAAATCTGGGCCAGATCCCAGCTAGATTTTCAGTTTCTCCAATCAAATATATGTGTAAATTAGTATTTTTAGGTACTGTAAATTCTAAATACACTGTAATTTAAGTTTGTGTTCTATGTCAAGCCAGTATTTCATAAGGAATGTAGGAATACTTATAAAACTTCAAAATATAATAAACAAAATCACTATATTTAACAAAAAATACTCTTGAAATTTCAATATTAAAAAATTATAAATTCTAAATGAATGTTAGATGTTAGAACATCAACAACATAAACTTGAAATATAACTTGAACAATGAAGTTACCATTGAAAGTGTTAATATTCATTTTTTGATCCAGATTTTTGACACTGCTGTACTTGATAAAAATAATTTTTTGTATAAGAGATTTCATAATTGTTTATTATTAAATTTTTATGTACATTACAGGATATTATAGAAATCAATTTGACAGAAAATAGTGGATATAAACAAAAGTTAGCTGATAAAGGTGATGAATATGTAGATAGACAAGCTTCACGTTATATATGTCCAGTTGTTGGTTTAGAAATGAATGGAAAACATAAGTAAGTAGTATATCTATAATTAATAATAATAATTTTGTAAGTAAAATATCTCTTATATCTCAAATATCTTTTATATTGACTTTATTAAAATACTGATAAATATTTAAATATCATTTTTTCCTTTTTTAAATAAGAGATAATATGTCTTTTGTTAGACAAGAAAAGTATGATTCCAAATTTATTTGCTAAAACACTTTACAGATGTTCTGCAATGTGTGTAAATCTTCAGAAACTTTAAAGATGTGAGTTCAAATATGGAATCTTTCATAAGTTTTTCAAACATAGAATTATCAAGACATGAATGAAACATGGTCACATAACCTGAAAAATGATCTAATTTGCATTTGAAATGTTTCTATAACAACAATTAAAACAAATAAATTTAGGTAAATGAATATTAATAACCTGACAACATTTTTAAAAATAAATTTTGTTGAAGTTTTTAATTTCAACAAAAATTATATAGAATAATTTTAGAAAGATTAAAAAGATCTTTCTTTGTAAAAGTTAAAAGTAAAAAAAAAAACTGAAATGAAAATGAGTGATTATTTATTGTGACATCATCACAATGCCAGACTGCAATTTTTAATTTATTTCATTTAAAATATATGCTTTCCACCTCAGATTAGTCGTGTCTTGCTCCTGTACACCATACTTTTCCTTTAACAGTAGAATCATGCCGATCATCTATTAACTGCTTTCAGGGGAAGTTTTCAATTGAAATAATGTGACTTCCGGTTTGCATTGGGTGTTCACATATACTTAATCGGGGCCTTTTGCCCCTAAAGATTTTATATCTGGTCTTGGATTTCATCTGTCTAGTTTTGTTCTTGAGATTAGGGACAGATAGATGACAGTAGGAATTTATAGGTCTACAATTTTTTCAAATTGCAATCCAATTATAAGAATTAGTTTTTAAGAACAAATGTATTGAAACAAAAACATCTGAGATGTAAAAAATTGAGATGACAAAGTTTTTCTTTGATAAAGATAAGCTTAACATTTTGAAGCAGTACTCACAAGATTTTTTATCTGTATTGTTTGTTTTCTGCATTTTGCTTTCAAAGTGCCAAGCTTATTTTTTCTAAAGAAAAACTTATGAAAAAAGTTGATTTGATTATCTAAATTGTCATCATTTTTTGCTTTATGCAATTTTTTTTACTTTCATTCAGATGTTTTTGTTTTTGATATCAATTATTTATTTTATTTATTTATTTATTTATTTTTGTGAATGATTATTACATCAAGACCTAAGACAATGATTTATAGTTCAGTTGACACTCTGTAATGGCTATTAACCAAATGCTTTCAATATACTGTTAGTAAAATTATTATGAAAAGTTTTAATTCTCACAAATTTGTCTAGGAATGTCTTCAATGCTGGATGAAGAAGAAAATAGAGCTTTTCTGTTAAGATTTTACATTTTTTGATTGTTTATATTTTGGAATTCCTTTATAGAAAAACTTGAAATTTAGCACACTACCTAAGAAAACAGTTATCTTTTAAACAAATTGTTATATATATAGTCAGTCAGTCAGTGACTTTTTACTTGGTACTGAGTCACTGCCATTATTCTTGATGAAGTGAATCAGTTTTATACAGGGTGGGAGAATGGAATTTAAGAAAGGGCCTGAATTGTTTTGAAAATAATGTTCATGAGGTGACTACCCTGATTTTTCAAACACTGTTCCATCCTGATTGAAAGGGAATCGCATTTGAGGATGTTCTGTGGAATATCATTGATAACATACTGAACTTTCCTAACCCACAACAACAACTGTTTTATGAGGGAGGCATGTCATGTTAAAATGACAGTTAAAGTCTTGCTGTATAGTTGTAACAAGCTATACAGTGAGATTTTCAAAGGTTGATTTCTCTGTCCTAAACACCTAAAGTAACTTGATTTTTATGAATGCTTTTACTGTAGCAACATACTTCTGTACAAATTATCACTCCATGATTACTGAATTCCTAGAATATACTAAAGTCACTAGTGCTGCCTTTATAAAATTTTTAATAACAAAATACAAACTGACAGGTAATTATGCTCTATCCTGTATATGTAGTCTGCTCAAAAAATTCTGGGACATTTTTTTTGTTTTTTTTTTTTTTTTTGTTTTTTGGACATACCTGTAATCTAGTTGTCTCCTTCAGAGTACTCTCCTCCGTTATGAATACACTGCTTTCAGAGGTGCTGTCATTTCTGGAAGCAATCTGGTAAGTGTTTTTTAGAATTGTTCATAGGTGCTCCTGCAAATTTTTCTTGATGTCTTCAATTGTCTGAAATTTGTGTCAAAGTGCATAGGGAATAGGAAAAACTGCAGGAGCAAGGTGGGTGGGGGAAGTGCCAGGTGTTCCTGTTTTAGCCAAGAAGTTGTGAATCAGCAGAGATGAATGGACTGACACATTGTCATGATAAAAGAAAAAATTCATGCATCAGGATCCACAAGTGTTTTTTTTTTTTTTTTTTCAGAGTTCAGGCCTTTTCTATCGGCAAAATGCCAGATAGAAAGCTCTTAGGTGCCTTAGCACTTCCAGATAATAGCTCTGATTCACTGATTCACATCTGGTAAGAATTCAAGATGCACAACACCTTTGATATAAAAAAAAGAAACCATGATTTTCATATTTGACCTGACTTGTTGCACTTTCTTCAGCCATAGTGACATTTTCCAACTCATTGCAATGATTGCCTTTTCATTTCTACATTGCATCTTTACACCCAAGTTTCATTAGCAGTAATGATTCTTTTAATGAAGGTTTCATCTTCATTTGCACAATCCAAAGTTGTTCTAAAACTGAAACAAATTTTCTCATAAGAAACAATGTAAAATGGATTAATCCTCTCTTGATCTCTAAATAATGATTTTTTTACTTTTTTAGCTGTATTTCATGCTATAAATGCCTACAAATGCAATGTGATATTGTATATAATATACAGTAATACTGTATTATATGTTATAAATTTTTGTTATTTAATTTGACTTAAACACTTTTAAAGATGTATTCTTGGATACCATTTATATTATATTACAAGAATACCAGTTAACACTGTTTTTATTAATTAATTTGATTTAAGATTAACAGTTGTTTTAATTTATTATTCTAATTGTTTTACTAAATGTATAAATAATTACTTTTAACAAACTGTTAAAAAGAGAAAACATTCTCTATATGATTTAATCTTTCTTATCTAATTAACCTGCCCTGTGTTATTCCCAACTCACTGTGTTCAGCGTTATGAATCTTTTTTTTTTTTTTTTTAAATGATTCATAACGCTGAACACAGTGAGTTTTAAACTATTAATTAATATCACTTGGCGTGAATATCATATTAACCTATGTTATTCCCAACATATCTCGGGGTCGTGATCTCTAACCTGGAGCGTTGGGCCCAAGATATCTTGTTTCTGTTTAGGAACTTTTTTTTTAACATCAGATGTCGCCAGACTTGTACAGAAATCCATAATTAGTTACTCATATCAAAAGAATTGTTATGTTATCTAGTTTTTGCACAGCAGGATATTAAAACAATAGGAGTTGTTGTTCAGAAGAAATAACAAAGGATAGTAGGGTGTTAGACTGTTTTGACATGGCAACAGCTGGGAGAAATAGTGCTCTGAATAGGTCAGAAATTATTGAATATTTATTTAATTTAGGTTTGGATTTGTTGTTACTGTCTGATAATTCAGACAGTAACAACAAATATATACAAAATAAAATTGTAAGTGATGGTAGTAGTGATATTGATTATGAAATACCAACTTCAAGTGGATACAGAGGCAGACCATGCGGTCATGCTTGTGGAAATAATATTGCAAAATGTCCGTGTTTTAGTAGTGATGATGGTTGGATCCATACAAACTGTACTAGACCTCAAGTCAACAGTTTCACAGGACAAGCAGGAATCAAATATAATTTACAGAGTGATACTACACCATTCAACTGCTTTAGTGTATTTTTTGATGATGAACTTGTGGGCAAGAGCATTGAGGAAACAAACAGGTATGGTGCTACTTGGATGAAATGTGACAATATACTGGAAAATAGTCGTATAAAAAACTGGAAACCGACAGCAAATCCTGAATTTAGAGAATTCATTGGACTTATTATGGTCACAAGTATCATTAGAAAACTATGCTTAAATATGTACTTTACGAAGGAAGATGTTTTTTTCTACACCATTTTTTTCTAGTGTGATGTCGGGCAACTGCTTTCTGCTTTTATTGTCATGTTTGCATTTTACAGGCAATAATCAAGTCTTAGATGGTGGTGATAAACTGCATTAATTATGCAGTGTCATCAATCATTTTCTCCACAAATTCAAATATGCTTACATCCCAGATGAAAGTCTTATGTTATGGAAAAGCAGACTAGGATTTAGGCAGGATATACAAAGCAAGCATGCTCGTTTTGGAGTAAAAAGCTTTGAAATTTGTGAGTCATGTACAGGATATGTTTGAGACTTTTTAGTTTACACGGGAGCTACGACAGAATATGGAAATTTTGAAGGTGGGCAAGGTTAGAAAGTTGTACTTACCTAATTAGAACCATTGCTCGGTAAGAATTACAAGGTTTTTTTAGACAAGTCACCTCACCAACATTAGCCACAACACTTCTGGATAAACAAACATGTTTATGTGGAACTGTAAACACAAATCGAATTGGAATGCCATGCAATTTTCCTGATCATAAATTGAAGGAAGGTGAATTTATGACCTGTCAAAAAGATGGTTTGTGTTTTGTTGGAAGGATAAGAGGGATGTGCCGATTCTAAGTACGATGAGTAACAACAAATTTTCAGATTCTGGTAAACATAACAGATCAGGAGATATAATAATGAAGCTGAATTGTATTTTAGAATAACCAAAATTTGGGTGGAATTGATCTGTGAGATAGAGTGATACACAATTATCCATGCATGATAAAAATGGTGAAATGGTACAAAAGTTTTTTTACATGCTGGATATTGCACTATATAATGCTTGTGTTTTGTATTGCCAACATATTAAAAAACAGATATCATTTCTTGATTTTCGGATGTCTGTTGTTAGAGAAGTGATGGAAAGTTTACACAAGCAGACATCTAACCTGCCGCGGTCGACCATCACACGAAAATCCGTTATGTTTATCTGAACGGCATTTTCCCAGCCACATAACAGCAACAGATAAGAAAAAAATATTCAACCAGAGTATGTAAAGTCTGTTCAGCAAGCAAAAAGCGAGTGGAATCACGTTACCAGTGTGAACAATGTTCCATTCCACTAAGCATTGTTCCTTGCTTTGAAATTTACCATACTAGAATTAATTTCTAAAATTTTTTTTGTTTTTACATTTATTAATATGTCTTTTTCTATGTGCAAAATATAAAGTAATTTTGAATGATACAATAGCCACAATTATTATTTCTCTAAAATGTGTGATTGTATTAGGCTTAACATCGAAAAAAATTAAACATGGAGAAACACGCAACAGAGAAAATATTTACTATGTGATAGGTTAAAGGATGTTCAGAAATGAGAGTCACTTAAGAAAGCAATGTATTAATGTACTTGTCTTGTGCAAATCAAGATAAAACTTGTAAGCCTGCTTGTCAGGACTTGCATATGTCTAAGAATAATATCACTTTAGGTGGAAGAGGAGAAATGTAAACATGCAGAATAAAAGAAGTGAAGCTCTCTCTGCTCTGCATGTGCCATTATTATGAAAACATTTTGGGAAGAGATTGAAAAAGACCAAGCAACATTTTATGCTTGAAAATATCTAATTAACGATAATCACTTGGATATTGGACAGGTTCAAGGAATGTGGAACTACACAGTGTAGAAAGTGTACTATCATCCTGCAAGCATAGGAACAGCTAAAGTTATATGGACACATAACTTCAAACAGGATCTCAACATTGTTGAGAACAGAAACTGCAAAATTTGGTCTTGCAGTAAGTATCCTACATGACATAATGATGAAGTTAGACATCAGTGCACACAGAAAGGAATGGGCTCCAAACAACAATCAGGAGCAGGAACATAGAGCAAAAACCAATTGCCAAAACTTGTTAATGTTCAGCTGCATGCTAAAGGAGAGAAAGTATTGGTACTAGGTGATGATATACACTATCTCAGGATAGTGTATATCATCCAAAACAAATTCCTGGAATAAAATTCTACCATTCCACTAACAAATCAGATATACCATGTAAAGTTGGGTGTTTAAGAAATGCCAAATTTCCAAGAAAGTACTTAATATGGCAGGCAATTGATTAATGCAGACACATCTGAACCTTTCATTTCTTGTGGATCTATCATTGCTTAGGTATAGCTAAAGAGTGTATTAAAAAGCATTTGATTGTCTTCATCCATAGAAAATATGGTATTCTGGTTAGATCTAGCAATGGCCCATTATGCCTGCAAAGTTACTGACTATTTTCAAAGTATGGGTCTTGAGTTTGTGGAAAAATAAAACATTTCTCCAATGCATCTCAGGCAATAAGTCTGAGATACATTGGAGAAATGTTTTATTTTTCCACAAACTCAAGACCCATTGAGAGATTTTGGGAATTGTGTAAACATCAATATGCATTTTGTCCTTGTGGTGCAAAGAACTTGAATTCGTTCAAATGAATTTGGAGAAATATTGCTCTGAAAGTTGGGAAGAAGTCTAGTGTGATCATGGCAGGAGTTTGAGCAAAATTGAGATGTATAGAATGACATGGTGTCTGTGGACCATTACTTTACAAAAAGGGAACCTGAACTGTCTGGACTATCCTCTGATCAAAATTGATCTTTGTACAGGTAACCCCCATATAACATGGGAGTTATGTTCCAAAAAATTGCCGTGTTATGCGAATCCATGTTATACAAAACAAAGAACTAGTACAAAAAGGGGGGGTTAGGTTCCAAAAATTAAAAAACATGCTATTATATTTTAATAATTAAGATAAATATCTTTATTAAAATTTTCTTAACTGATACATATTATTGGGTTGTTCAGAAAGTAATTTCGTTTTTTTCCATGGGAAAAAAAACAATATTTTTATAATAAATAAATATTTTGTTGTATTATTTATTGACCATTTTGGTCAAATATTTGTTGTCATCGTTTCTGGTAGTAGCATGATTTCACATTCATAAAAGTTTTGATCGTTGCTTACAAAAAAACTGATCCAAGTGATTTTTGACATTGTCATTTCAAGTAAATGTCTTACAGTTAAAAAAAATTGTATAGACCAGAACAAGTAATAATCTGAGTGTGCTCGATCTGGTGAGTATGGTTGGTGTGATAGCACGTCCCATCTAAGTTATAACAGTTTCTGATGAGTTACTAAACTTGTATGAAATTTGACATTATCTTGGTAAAACACTACACCTGTTTTGTTGATCAATTCTGGCTACCTTTTCTGTTTGATGATATTACTTGATTTGTTTACTCGATGGCAGTACACTTTTGAATCAATTGTTAAATTGTCTGGTAAAAGCTCCAAAAAAAATTTCCTTAAAATCCCACCAAAGATCTCTCCTTAAGAACATGTGGAACCCATATATCAAGCTTTGAAATTAAACCAATTTGTTTCAAGTAATCATAAACAGTTCAATTTGACAAATTTAATCTCTTAGTGATTTCACGTGTTGTTATTCGGCAGTTTGCTTCAATCGGTACCTTTTATTTTGTTTTCATTGGCTTCAACTGGCCATCTAGAATGTGGTGCATCTTCAATATTGAAATTGCCAGAACGAAATTTTGTAAACCAGTTTTAGCACTGTTGTTCTGTCAATACAACTTCATCATACACATCACACAATTTTTTTCTCACTTGAACAGCACTCTTACCTTTTCAGTAATAAAAGAGCAAAATATGCTGAAAATGCTGCTTTCGATCTTCCATATTTGATGGAACACAAAAAATAAACAATTGCACAAAATCAAACAAAATTTTTTACAAATAAGCCTTAAAATGCTAGCTGTCAAAACATATAATGATAATACGGTTTAGAATAAAAATGGTGGGAAAAATACAACTAATCCATCTTAATCCGTCTTAGTGGTAAAAAAAAAACGAAATTACTTTCTGAACAACCTAATAATAAAAAATTAAACGATGTTTTCTTTGTCATCATTAAGCACTATTAATTTTAACTGAGGGCGTTTTCTTTTTGGCAAGATATCCTTATCCTCTGAGAATTTTTCTGCATTATCTTCAGATCCATGCTCTACCTTTTGCAAAAAATATGCTATTTAAATTGCTTGCTTTTGATTAAAAGATCTTTATAAATTTCCTTATATGGTGCTAAGCAAGAGTAAAGCAAGTATGGAATAAGAGAAAAACATCTGGCAACACCAAAATCAGAAGCATTGAGATCTGGCAACACTGAAACAAGTTCAAGAAGGACCACATATATCGACAGAAGGCAGGAAAAGAAAATTTACATACTTAAGTACTAATAGTACACGAAAATAATACGAAAATTATTATTTTCGTGGACTATTAGTACTTAAGTATGTGAAAATCTATTACATTTCATGTTGTACAAGAGTTTTACCCAATTCTCGAACCGTGTTAGAGTGAATCCGTGCTATAGAAGTGACGTGTTATGTGGGGTTATCTGTACCTTTATTTATTCTAGTAAAACAGTATTAATTGAAAGGGCTTTCATTTCCAAACAACCCTTATGTAACTTAAATCTAAATTATGACATTTTAATTTTTTTTAATAATGTTTATATATTTAATATTTGATATCTGGCTCTTACATTGATTAGTTTATTTACAAATGTCTTTAAAAACATACTTAAATTTTCAATATATTTTACTAATGTTTTACCTAATTTATTTTTTAATTTAATTGTTACAGATGAGAATATTATCTTTAAATGTATTAGAAATCTTAAGGTTTAACTACATATATATAATAATATTTATCAGATAAAACAGGATAAGTTTTCAAGTTTGAAATTTTTATAAAGAAATTTTATTTCAGATTTTGTTATTTAAGACAATGTGGATGTGTTTTATCAGATCGAGCATTAAAAGAAGTAAAATCTGAAGTCTGTCATAAGGTAAAACTAATTTAATTTTTTTTTTATTTTAAAAATGTAACTATATAAAATAATAATTAACATATAGAACATAAAAAAATTAATTGGGAATAATGTCAACAACAGGTATCCCTCATATAACACTGTAGTTACATTCCAAAAATGTGCTGTGTTATGTGAATCTGTGCTATATGAAACAAAGGACTAATGCAAAACATATGGTTACTTTCCAGAAGTTTGCAAAAGTATACTATTCTTTTTCTTTACTAAGAGAAGTATGTTTATTAAAGCAATCAATAATTTATTTCCAATCAGTAATTAACTAACCGTCACAATTAAAAGTACTGTATTACGCATTGATATTAATTTTAGTTAAACGAAGGTGTCTTCTTTTTACAAAGCATTGTTGTCATCTTAGCTTTTTTGTTGATCTTGATCAGAAGTATCAGCAACATTTTTCACATTTTTTATTTTCATCATAAAAATATGTTGTTAATCAAAAATTTGTTCTAGTGGTTCAGTAGAGTACTGAATGACTTTTTTCTAGAATTTGTGTTCAAATACCAAGATATTGTTGTATTTCATTTATCATTTTTTACAAATTAAGTAATCATTCATAGGTAAGTAATACTTACTGTTAAAAAAAGTTTAATAATGCTTTTCTAAAAATGTTTAAATAAACTTTTCTAACTATGAAGATTAACAATGTACTGTACATAGAACAAATAACTGGTGTGAAATAATAAAAAAACAAAAACTATTTCAAATATTTTCCAACTCCTGAGTTCTTCAGGTGCTATAATGGTCTCCAGATGGAATGTTGTTAATGTTTGCAATAGTTTTTGTTTTTTACAATTTCACACCAGTTATTGGTTCTGTGTACGTTGTTAACTATTTTCCAGTGTGGTACATTGTAATATACAAAGATTAATTTATAAAAATATAACAGTGACAGTCTTAAGGGATAAAGTATGGAAACAATGACACCTGTTTTTTCAAGTTTTTTTTCTTCATTGTCCTATCAGTTTTCATTAAAGTAAACCTGACAAAAAGCACAAAATAATTTGAAAATTTCAATATTGTAAAATTCATGAGCAAATTTGAGATAACCTGTATGCTTACTCGAATTAAAAAATTGAATAACGAAGTTCACACTTAAAAATTATGAAATTTTATACAGAGGATTTCCAAAACCATGTTAGAGCAAAACTGGAAGTTGTATTGAATGATAACTGTATTTCCTTTTTAATTTGTTATGAGTGTATATATAACATTGCATATCTTGATATTTAACAGAGAACTGCATGTGTGAGATATGCCGAGGGCCACGGGGCGGATCCCTAATGACAACTTACACAGCAACAGGTTGGTAAAACCCGATCTCGCGTCGTGGGATGGCTTAGGAGGGCAAATCGAGTGGGGAGGGAAGTGAGAAAGCTGGCAGGTGTCCTTTAGAGACAGGAGACAGGTTTAACAAAATAAACAAGCATTTATTTGAATAATTAAGCTAAGATACAGGAGGCTATAACAATACATATAGGCTAAAGGCGGTTAAATATAAGTTAACTATAAAAACAGGCTGCTCTAACGGCTATCCTGAGAGAGAGAGAGAGTTCACAATGCTCGAAAATACAAATACCTCTATAAGGATATGACTAATATGCATGCGTTGAATGGGCCATATGAATCATAGTCGGCACAGGAACTGTAGAATGGCGATAATCATGGAAGTTCGAATGGCTTTCTGTCGTTATGGCAATGTCCTTTCGGTTGCTATGTCCAATGTATGGAGATAAGATGCACACATTGATAAGTATAACTTTCTTTGGTCGTGCCTGGAGCTTCCGGGGGTGTGAGCTTTTATACATTCTTCGTGGGAAAGGAGTCATGTGATTGACTTCTGTTGACACTAACAGTGCATTCTGATCAACTAGGTGTCAACTATCCCACCTAATTGTGAAAACAATCGGTGAACTCCGATATAATTCTCACCAAGAGTATTTTTTTCATTGGAGTTGTTTACAAAGGTTTTTTCCCAACATCTGCATAAAAATCACAGATCTCACAAAATTATTTGTTGTTCCAGGAATCTCCATCTTATCGAACAATGAATTTCCTGTACAACCAGGAAAATATTCATTATTTAACCCTCTACATATAAGAAATGCCCATACCTGAAATTATTCAGTCGCTTGAGACCTCTATTCTTTATTCTATAGAAACAAGTATGTTACAAGACTGTATATTATGCCATACATGTGTAGGATAAAGTTGATGGAAACTATATATACTGTAATTACAAAGATGCAAATTACATATGATTGTTAGCACTTCACAATTTGTTAGAAAAACTTGTCCATCTTGGTTTGTTTTGATGCAGCTTTTCTGCTATTGAATACAACAACTGTTTGATATTATCAGTGTCATGTACTGCAGGAATGGGTGACCTTTTTCTATGTAAGGGCCACATTTGAAACTTTTGAACTTATGCGGGCCACACATAACAAAAAAGGAAAAAATACGGGTAAATCNATGTCCTTTCGGTTGCTATGTCCAATGTATGGAGATAAGATGCACACATTGATAAGTATAACTTTCTTTGGTCGTGCCTGGAGCTTCCGGGGGTGTGAGCTTTTATACATTCTTCGTGGGAAAGGAGTCATGTGATTGACTTCTGTTGACACTAACAGTGCATTCTGATCAACTAGGTGTCAACTATCCCACCTAATTGTGAAAACAATCGGTGAACTCCGATATAATTCTCACCAAGAGTATTTTTTTCATTGGAGTTGTTTACAAAGGTTTTTTCCCAACATCTGCATAAAAATCACAGATCTCACAAAATTATTTGTTGTTCCAGGAATCTCCATCTTATCGAACAATGAATTTCCTGTACAACCAGGAAAATATTCATTATTTAACCCTCTACATATAAGAAATGCCCATACTTGAAATTATTCAGTCGCTTGAGACCTCTATTCTTTATTCTATAGAAACAAGTATGTTACAAGACTGTATATTATGCCATACATGTGTAGGATAAAGTTGATGGAAACTGTATATACTGTAATTACAAAGATGCAAATTACATATGATTGTTAGCACTTCACAATTTGTTAGAAAAACTTGTCCATCTTGGTTTGTTTTGATGCAGCTTTTCTGCTATTGAATACAACAACTGTTTGATATTATCAGTGTCATGTACTGCAGGAATGGGCGACCTTTTTCTATGTAAGGGCCACATTTGAAACTTTTGAACTTATGCGGGCCACACATAACAAAAAAGGAAAAAATACGGGTAAATCACAAATATTTATTCATATATTCATGAATTAACATAGTATACTGTTGTGAGTAGCCGGGGACTATAGGGGGATTTCTATTAACTCACTTACTCAGCATGGAACCCGATCTCAATGTCTGAGGATAGCTTATAAAATTAGATTAAGATCTTTTTAGCTTAATATAGTCAGGACCTGACACCAGGTAAGAAAGGATTATTTGCATCTTACCTCATGATAAAAATATAAGATATCTCTAAAAAGGTGGGGTAATTTATGAGCAGGGAGTATCGTGGATAATCAGTCTGTTAAAATGAGATTCTACTGTGCGTGTTCATTTTGAATTTCTGAATGAAGAAATTTATAATTCTTCATTCAGAATGAACTTCAGAGTTTTTGAATGTAGAAGAATCTGATCTGCTGCAGTGTGGCAGTTTTAGAGAAATTTCAGCTGTCAGTAAGGATCTTAAGATCAGTGGTGTAATCTGATAGGCTTCTATTCATCAAATATTATAAAATAGTAATTTATAATATTTGAATAATATAGAATTGATTTTCATTTATTTAACAGGAAAGAAAATACATTGTTTTTGAATATTAAAAATTTTTATAAAATTTTGAGATGAGCTTTGGAATGGCAAAAAATAAATTCATTCACTCTTCAAAAATAAATACAAGAAATTATACATATTTATTTTACTATAAAATTGAAAAAATAATAATAATAATAATATTCCAAACAAAAATGACACATAACAAATGGTCG